CCCTCCCCCCTACACACATCCACAGAAATTCAAAAGTGATTAATAAAAGAGCGAGCAGTGTGGTTACATGAACAGAATGTGGACCCACACGTTAAGCTGCTTGGTCGGAGTCGTCCTGGAAAGTGCTTTCCGAAGAGAAATTAAGGAACAGAGATTGTTTTGTTTTGTTTTACTTAAATGTTCAGCAAATATAAACATGGGAGGGAAAGAAGAGTCTCCTGAAGGTCACCACGGGGTCACCATGACCTCAGGCCCCAGACCCAGCCATGGTAGAAAGGCTGGGCCTAACCAACTGGTCATCCAGCTGGGAGAGACACTCCCAATATTGCATGGACAGGCATTTATAAAAGATTACTCCTTGTTTATCTTGAATAGTCTCTAAGGGAGAATCCCTATTTTATCTGGTAATTCCCTCCCACTGGCTGTTGCCTCCCTTTGCTTTAATGAAGCAGTGTAGACGGAAACCCTGGTTTACACCAAGAGCCAGGGTGTGTGTGGTGGCCTTCGGTGGCCTTTCCTCCAGGTGTTCCTAGTAGCATTTCCTGGGGAATGGCACACCCACTCACCACCTTCACAACTACACACAGATACCTGCCTGCCTTTACCCTTTCTGAGGTTTGAGCATCAGTCATGGCGCCTGTAACTGGTTGAGCCCTGTGGGTGCTCTTAGGTGCCACCTAAGCACTGATGCCCCTTCAGCCCTCTCTCCTCCAGCTGCTCCTACCCCACAGCCACATCAGGCTGGATGACCTGGTCCCATGCGGCTACTAGGGCTTTGAGAAGATCTAGGAATGGGCCATGTGGTCTGTGCGGGCCTCTTCCATTCCCAGGGGATGTTCCAGGAAGCGTAAGGGACCCGCTGCAGAACGGGTGCTCCACACAGCTCGGTGTTAGCAGTCCCTCCTCTGTGCTGCTCTTCTGTAGCCAGTTGCTTCAAGTCTCCAGTGATACAGCCATTCCCTGTTGAAGGCTGCTCTTGGCTGTAGTTCCAACAGGGATGGCCTGACAGCAGGTCATTGGTGGCAGGGGTGGCCTCGTGCTCTGTTCTGCCGTGGGAATGTGAAGTCCTGACTGTGCTTGGATAGAAAGGGGGCCTACTCATGTGAGTGTCCTGGTCAGTGAGGGGGCCATCGTGGGGATGGAGGGCCTTTCTCACAGCGAATTGTACTCATCGAATTGTGGGCTTCAGTCTTTGGGGAGGAGGTTAGGGTGATCCAGTGAGGACTATGACATTGAGCTTGGCCCAGTGTGCGAATATGAATACTGTCCTCTAAGGTGGAAATGTGAAGGAGATGGCAGAGTGTCTGGGGGAGCCATCGGTGTCTCCACCAAACCTGGAGGATGTGGAAAGGCCCCACCCTGAGAGGATGAAGAGCTGGTCCAAACCTGCCCTGCTGGGCTGGCCAGGACCCAGATGTTGGCACTAGAATGAGGGATGGTAGGGAAGGGAGTCAGGGGGAGTGGGCTGGCTCAGGGGTTAAGACCAAAACACTTAAGTTTAGATCCTAGCACCGACATCAGGGGGCTCACAACTGCCCATAACTCCTGTTCCGTGGGAGCCGATGCCCCGCTTGTGTGGACACCTGTACACAATTCACACCTGCACACAATTAAAAATGATAAAACCAACTTGAGAGAGCGTGGGGGCGGGCTTCAACTCCATTATAAGCAGTGAGTCCCAGGCTAGTGCTGCCGGGGGCCTGGAGCCCTCAGACTGTTTTCTCATGGGGACCCTGGAATAATGTGACACGCGTGAGGCAAGGTTGTGCTGGAGTGTCAACGGCAGCGTTTCTGCCAACCTCCATGGCTGGGAACACTGAAGAGGCTTCGTGTGGGGACGACTGCTCACAGCAGGGTCCAGACAGATGCTCCTGCATCGGTCCCGCGCACGCGAGCTTGGTGTCTGCCCGTCATCCAGTGCTGGGGACAAGGGACAGCTGAGCACTATGGCCAGCCAGCCCAGCCTAACTGGGGAGCCCGGGCCCAGTGTGAGATCCCGTCTGAAAAAAGCACAGTGTCCTGAGAAACAGCACCCAAGATTTACCGCTGGTCACACACACACACACACACACACACACACACACACACACACACCCTAAACTTTAAAACTTCCACAAAAGTGTCTATGTGCACATGTGTGTGCACGTTTGGAGGAGTGTCTGCGTGTGCATTTGTGTGTGTGTGTGTGTGTGGACAAGCTCCATTGGTAAGTCCTTCTCCCGTCAGCAGGGGTTTAGAGCCTGTCCCACTCTCCTGAGCCATGAAGCATGTCTGCGCACGCGCGCACGCGCACACGCGCACACACGCAGACCTGCGCTGTGCAGTGTGCACTGGCCTGTGCTTTGCTTTTTGTCACCCCACGTCAGTGTGTCACATTCATTTTTCAGTCGCCGCGTGCTGTTCTGACTTGGACACTGTGCTGCTTGTCTCCCCTCGCCTCACAGGTGACAGAGACAGCCCACATGCCCCTCCCATGGACACGTGTTACCATGCACTGTCGGTCTCTGTCATTCTGCCATGCCCTTCCTGGCTGGAGTTTGGGTTCCTTCCAATTTTCGTTTCAAGTGATTATCCAGTGAACAACAACATTCCAGGGTTTTCTGATCCCGAGGGTTTTTCTTTTGACTATTTTTAGCATTGGTCCCTATAGTGAGGTTATTGGAATAAAGAGAATAAGCATATGAGATGTTTGGAGGGCTGGGGAGGGTTTGCTGTGCCAGCCTGAGGACCGAGCCTGACCCCAGAACCCAGATGGAAGTCAGAGGTGGCAGCGCACACATGCGGTTCTAGCCGTGGGAAGGCGGACACGCGGGGTGGTCTCTGGGTCCTGGTATCCAGTCAGCCTCGCCTACTGAGGCAAGTGTCAGGCCGGGGGAGATCCTGTCACCCAAGCTGAGGTGAAAGCTCCTGGGCGAGGAGGCACGCGTGTGCACGCCATGCACCCTCCCTCCAACACGCAGATATGGGCACACACGTCCCCCTGTGTCAGGAAAATCGGGCAGATTCTTCCAAGTTGCTCTTCAAAAGTAACCAAGCTATGTCCGCCGACAGCGTAGAAGAGGTGTGTGCCAATCTTTTTACACGGGACGGTGTGATGGCCAAGGGGAGCTATATTGTAGCTGTGTTTCCTTGGCTTACAGTGAAGCATCTTTCGTATGGCCATGGCCCCCTCTGATTTATTACTCTGCAAATTTATCCTATTTATTACTTATTTACTTAGAGACAGAGTGTAGCTATGTAGCCCAGGCTGGCCTCACATTCACGATCCCCTTGCCTCATCCGAGTGCCGGGATCACAGCCCACGCTGGCTGTTTTGTTTGTTTATTTAGCCAATGACTTGCTTCATAACCCAGGCTGGGTTTGAACTCTGCCGTCCTCTGCCTCAGCAGCAGTGAGATCATGGAGTGATTGTCTTCTACAAGAGGTTTAGTTTCTTTGACCTTCCCTTCCGACTTCAGTCTCACTCTGTACTCTGGGATCTCATGAGCGATGGAAACCTTTGGTCCATTCTGAACGCGGAGGGCCATTTCCTCTCTGCTTGCAGCGCCCCAGGACATCTCTTTCAGGCGGGCACTCATGGGGGCTTTCAGAAGTGGAGCTCCGGCATGCTGTTGTAGAGCTGGGCGGCACAGTAGCATCAGCCTCCATTTTGCAGGTTTTTTTCTGGACTCCTTCGCAGGCTGTTTGGGGACCAAATACTTACATCCCATTGTTCACTTCGGGCTCAAAAGCCCTGGGCACACCCTCATTTTCAGGATTTAAAAACTATATTTGCCCTTGATTCTGTCCAGGACATCCCTGGATTGCAGGATGATCTTTCTTTTGTCTTTCTCTGGACAGAAATGGAAAATTATTTAGAGTTCCCTCTGACAGCCTCGAGGGAGTCAGGTCCCGGAAGGAAGGCTGCTTGAGGCCAGGAGGGCTCAGTGGCTGGGGAAGGTCCTGCCATCTCTCATTTCCTGTCCTTCACTGCCAGACGCAGGAGGCTCAGATTATGGGTATTTCTTCCCTGGACTGTGTGTGTGTGTGTGTACCCCAGGACAAACAAGGGCTCTGACTCATGATGACAGGATGCAACTGATTGTGATATATATATATATATATATATATATATATATATATATATATATATGTGCATATATATTATAAAGTGACCCATGCTGCTGGGGACGCCTTCTGTGGATTCTAGTCTTCTCTTCATTTCCCTTCCTCTCTCCTCCCTCTTCCTCCCATCTGAAGGTAAGTCAGATTCGTCACAGTTGTCTGACCCTAAACATCCCAGGGCAG